GAGATCTTCCCAGATCGATCACCAGAATTAATCCCATTGAGCTGTTCCTGTTCTGAGAAGGGGTACCAGACAGAGCAAACTCTACAGATCCCTTTCAGTTGAATTATTCTACAAGCTGCTGATCAAAAAGTCTGCTACTCCAGAGACCAAATCTTCACTTACTCCAGCAGCCACAAATACATATTTTCCAATTTACAAACCAATTTTTTCTCTTGGCGTGGTGAAAATCAAAGTGATCCAGAGATTCCTTTCTATGCAGCCACAGCTGAAGTTCAGGGAACACAGTATACAATCTTGCCAACCCAACCTGCAAATTATAGCTTTAGGTTGTTTTTGCTGACAAATCTCCCATCTGCCATTATACTTCATGATGTTTTGATTTTGGTCAAAGGAAGGGACCAGAGTTGCTCTTGTCCTGAATGACAGTACAAGTGTCTGATAAACAACACTCTTTCTTTGAGCTATACTTGCTCAGGAGTTTGTCCTACACCAGCAATAAGCTCCTGTCTACTTCACTCACTCCCTTGGGTTCTGCTGATCACCATCGCTAGCCTTACCAATCTAAGGTAACTTTACTCCTTTCTTAATTATATTATGCAGTTGTCTTTGAACAACCATACCAGGAGTGAACCCAAGGTTTTGATCTACTTTAATCACTCTAGAACTGGGAAAATTTTCTCTATCAATTACAACAGATAGGTAAAATACTGCATTAAACTTTCATTCGGATCATACAGTGAAATCAAATGGCATTTCAGTACTTCTGTTCCCTTGAAAATCACAGCCATTGCGCTTATATCTCCTGCCTTGTGACTAATGTAACTCCTTTCTTAGACTCTGGGAAGAGTCATCTTCATGCAGTACAAGAAGGGATGCTGCTGTTCACTGTACCCACTGCACCTTATAAACATTAAGTACCTCTCTCTTTCTGGGCTTGGAAAAGTTCCTAACAAAACCATCCAATATTTTATTGCCATTGCTAGCTCATCCTCTTCTGTACCTCAGTTTGGAGAACAAAACAGAGAGAAACAAACAAACAAACAAAAAAACTGGAGCCACCTTTAGAACATGAATGTTGGGTACAAATTTCTGTTCTAAGACTACTGGATGTCCCCCTATGCTGCAGCATGGATGATGGCTCCAGAGGCACCATCCAGACTGCAAATGTTGCAGACCATAACTCACAGATTCGCCTAAAGCTCTGTTTATCTACTGTAAGTGTGTTGATCTGTACCTCTTCTCTGGCATTTCTGATCACAGAGAAGGGCAATGCCTACGGATGGATCTGTGCCACAAGCAGTATATTCAGTCCTGTCTGAATCCATGTATGTGTCATCTCCTTGCACACTCAGCATTCAGAATGACCAGATTCCAGTGTCTTTGTTTCCAGATAATACAGCAATGGCAGGAATTTAGCAGTAATTTCCCAACTCTGCAAGGTCATGCATGGGATCTTTTTAAACCAACATGGAAAAAGACATTGACATCTGCAAGCAAAAGTTTTCCTCATATAGTTCCTATTTTAACTGCCAATTCCATTGTTATCTTTTGTATAATGTATCTACCAGTGGAGTGACACAACTCAGAGAGGATCAACTTGGAAAATCTGGACTAAACATTACATTTAAACTTCAGATGAAGATTACAAAAGGCTACAGAATATCTGACTTTAATATCTGGTTCCGATCTGCTAACGTTTATGAAGGTGAAGCCATTCCACTAAGCACCCAAATTGCCATGAAAATACATGGTATTCTGTTACGACACAGAACTTTTAGGATCTATTTAACAGTCTCTTCGGACTAAACCATTCTGATCTTCACAGCTCACTGCAGTTCCATCAGTCCTATGCAATTAAGGCCCCCAAAGGTTAGACTTCACAGATAAGCATTTAAATACCAGCCTTGATTCTTCCTGCTACAGAGATCTCTAAACTCCTGTCACTAACTAGCTCACAGTAAAGAAACTGTAGCCTGGCAGCAGAATCTGGCCTTTTGGGACTGTCTTGCCAATGATTTTGCTACTGCAGAAACAGCACCCGCTTGCACGAAACTGAACCAAAACCAGTGTCCTAGTGAGGATTTGCTTATTAAGATCATCAGCTGTGTTCTGATGTGATCATCAGAGCTATTCTAAGTCTGTAGAACTGTAAGCAAGCACAAAATGAATGTAACATAGAAATTCAACTCTATGCTAAACGAGCCAAAGAGAAGCTAGTTTACTCAACTGGTGCAAAACAAGTCATATTGAATTACTTCATCATTTCTGTCCTTTAGCTGTTGAGCTTGTTTGCAGCATTCCCTGCCACAGGATGTGTCACATACTTCTTAGCCCTTCCATTCCCTCAGGCCTGCAGAGGAGGATCTTTGTCCTTACCTTGCCTTTGCTTTGGTTGGACTTCTCAAAATCACATGGCCAGACTAAGGCTCTAATGTCAACCTGCACAGAGTACAGAAACTAAGGGGTCTGACTGCTCTGTGTGGGGTGTGTGGCAGTTAAGTAGCCTCACTTTAAGACAACAACAACAAAAGGATGTACATAAAGTAGTAATCAGAGTAATTAGAATACATGGGTTAGCTGGAGACTTTCAGCTCGATATTCAGCAAAGTGTGTGTTTAACTTGGATGTTCAAACCCAGCAAAGGACTGCATGCTGAAGGTAACAGTCCCTGGGGAGGCTAGGTCTCAGTGTGGTCAGTGGAATATGTTTCCTGGGAGAACTCCATTGCAAGTCATCTGTACCCTGGCTCTCAGAGTGCACCACGCATAAGGCAAGCAGCAAGTGTGGTTCTCATCCCTTCCTTCCCATCCTTCTCTGGAGCAGTGTTTTCCAGACACTCTTGAAATTGCTATGTATCTGCTGGATTCACAGAGCACTTCCATCCTATAGATGTTCTTTCAGACTCTGCAATGGGCCTGGAAGGGACATCTGGCTATGAGAAAAGTAACTGGGGATCCAAGGAAGCTGATGACCAGTTTGCCTATCTTCATTATGTCTTATAGCCCCCCAAAAAGCACTGCTACCTCCAGGCACTTAGACAAGAAGGGGTGCAATAACCTAACAAGAAGGGCACATCTGTAAGGGCTCCCAGCAGCAGGATGATGCTGCTAAAGCAGAAAGTCATGGAAAGGACTGAGAAGAAAAAAAAAAAAAAAAAGAAAAAAAAGAAGACTGAGTGCTTGTGATTTTTGTTGCGTTTGTTGTTGCTGTGGCTTGCCATTTTTTTCCTAATCATTTTTACAACTTGCCTGTCAGCTGCTCTCCAGGAGCTTTCATTTGTGAGAAATTACTACTACTGTGAATTCTGTTGAAACAACACAGCACTACCTGAGAGTGATGTTAATTATGACAGGCTTGCTGCAACTTCATGCATTGAGTAGTCCTGTGGGAGTTCATCTGAAGTTCACTACTTAAAAGGCTCTGCTACTGATTCCACATTAAGATCATCTCAATTTTTTTTCCTTCTGCCCCAACTGCCCAATTGCTGTGGCTTTTCTTTTTCTTGAAGAAAATAGATATGTCCATAGAGCAGAGAGTAAATATGGCCCATCTTCATTTTATGCTGTATTAGCAGTTATCTGTAAAAGTACATACTTGTAAACTTGTGGTAAAAGCACCTAATAAAAAAATCCTCTCAATTATTTATAAAAGCAGTTAGTCTTCAAGTACTACTCACAGAAACTGAACATCCTCCTTGGTGAATTAGTGATCGCTCACTATTTGAAAGGGCATATTTTGAGTGCCTGTATATAAAAAGAGCTAAATCAATAACTAGCAGACACCATTTAGATTTTAGCTCAGCTCTGAAGTAGCACAGAAACGTCTTACAAGGGTAGCAAGTCTCTTAACTTAGCAAGGCAGAGGGACATTTTCTGAAATACCACTGCTGCATCAGGCAGCTGAAATGTGGAGCTGTAACAGTGAAATTCACAGTTGTTTTGCAGATTCAGGTAAACCAGTGAGGAATTATCTGTGTGGCACTTACAGTCCAGTGCAACATCACATATAGGTAATTCTCCTGTGCTTCTGCATTTCCCAAGCATGGGAACTACATTTTCTGCTTTAAAAAGACAATCCTCCTTTCTCTATGCAGAAACCACAGATAACATGACATGGTCCGACACGCTGCAATACTCAGTTTTAAAATTCACATTTGTCGTAGGCATGTATGCTTCATATAAAAAGCTATTAGATAAAAAAACATACTCTGTGTAGAAACCCAAACAATCTTTAAAAACTATGGATTTCAGCTTCCCTTTTCACTTCAAATACCTTTATCATTTGCAATCCTTCATGTTTTGGAACACAGGTACTACTTTCACTTGTAACATACTGAAACTTCAGAAGACAGGTTGGTCAGAGGTGATACCTCAGCCTACAGGAGCCCATTATTATTTTTATTAGATACTTCTAGCTTACACCCATCACGGCCTAGAAAGATTCTTACTGAAACAAACTAGAAGATAGAAGAGAAAAACATTAAATTATGAATAGCAAATTCATGTGCTTATGCAGCTGCAAATATTACCAAATCATACACATAAAGTAAACAGTTAATTTTTTTCTTCTGATGGTATTTTCTTTGTAGAAAAACTCTTTCAGCAACTCACCTATACGGTTCTCATACCCATCCTGTAAAGCCTCAGTTTCTCATTTTCCACCAAAAAAAAAAAAAAAAATCATTGATAAAAATTTTAAAAGAAAGAACACTCACTTCTGTCCCCAAATGCAATCATTTCAATTAATTTCAGAGAGTGAAAACAGCTCAGCTGTCATTGAAAGAGTACACTTCTTCCTTCTTTGAGAGAAGGTGCTCAGTAGCATAAGATCCACAGACTGAGACAAACTGATTACAAAACTCCCCTCAACTTCAATACTGGATTCTGATGCAGTTTAAACTACATGCAGATACGAGTCCTGAAAACAGAGTTGGGGTGGGTGTGACTGGTGTGTAGGGGGAAAATAATAAAGATGGACAACCACACACAAGCTTACCTTACCTTTAAAGAAAGACAGGAACAAGGATGCCCAGAGACACAGTCCAGAATAAAAAAATACTAAGCACTTTTCAGTAAGCATTGTCCAAACTGGCTGTCTATCCTTTCCAGAGCAGAGGGTAAAAGAAGATGAAGTCCAAGGGAGAGTCTGCAGTGACTGATGGATTTGGCAATTACAGTAATAAGGCACCAAACCAGCTTCCCACCAGGAGAGAGAAGTGCATTATCTTGTGTGCTTCTCCAGTCCCCAGGAGCCAAATCAGCTCAATGCTGGCTCAGTAAATCTAAACACAAAGGGGCTAGCTACTTAGCCTGGGTCTGTGAGTCCCAGGCACTCTAAGCCTTTCCTTGATCAGAAGCAAATGCCAGCGATCCTCGGACACAGCTGTGCGTGTGCTGCATGGAGGGGGGGCACTGCTGCCAGGGAGATGCTTTCCACATCTCCACAGATTGTACCTAACTCGAGACAGCACGTCTGCAGCGCTTCCAGTGCTTGCACTCTGGTGCCTCTAGAGCTGCTTCCTAGTAAAATGAGTTTGTGTCCCCCTCTGCTTTCTCTCAACTGCCTGTGTAACTTGCAGTGCACACCTGTAGCGTGATCTCCCTGCAATTTCTCTGCCCTATCCCAGACACAGAAGCTGGGGAACATAACCCTGGTCAGTCTCATGCCCTCCTCACTGTACCCTTTGCTGTAAGCACTTCCATGAAAGGAATCGTCCTCATTCCCCCTTCTCCACCTGCCCACTGCTAATGGCTTTGCAGCTGGGAATTTTGTAAACACCCTGGTTTCCCCAGCACAGTTGCTCTGCCTCCCCACTCCACTCTCTTCATCAGCCAGATAAAAGCAAGCCATGAATACAATTAATGACATTTAACAGTTTTTTTCACTGTTTTTACATTTTCTGCACAGTCACCTACTTCTCTTTCACTTGGGCAATTTTGCCAGCCTGTAGTCTGTGCTGGATTTCAAAAGGCCAGAGACGGGAGGAATGACCTGCATTTCTCTGCCAAATTACCAATGGACTTTTCAGCTTGGGTAGAGAGTTCTTGCTATCTTTCCCTCCTCCCCACAATCTTAATCCCAAGCAGGAGCAATGAGTCCCTTCTGGGCACATACTCAGTCCCTGCTTGTGTCTGTCTAGCTTCGAATTGTGTACCACTGAGAGACAAACAGAGGGGAAGGGGGTTATATCTTCTGTACTTCATGTTGCCTGGGTGAAAAGAGCTGTAGCACCCTCATATTCAGTTGTCTGTTAGAACTCTGACCTCTTTTCTGCCAGTCAGAAGATCTCCTAGAGAAACTCCAGACGGGAAGTAACTAGCAATATGGTTCTGTCTTTGAGTAGGATCTGACAGGAATATGGAGACCAGAGCACTCAGCACCCGAATGAAAATGGCACCAAGTACAACCTGGTGGGAGCCAGATAAAAGCTGGAATTTTGCAAGACAACCCCTGCCAGGCCTGGATATCTCCTCAGGAACCAGAGCAGCTGTTTTGTTCACTCCAGACACTTCTGTCATGCTGGACGTGCAGTTGAAGACAAAAGTAATATGTGGGGATGGATGAGGTATTAATTCTGTCATGCCAACTGATGCTGTAGGACAGTACTCTTGCACAAGGATATTTGATGCTGAGACATACAAAAATTGAAACCTTCACAGTTTGTTAGGAATATAAAATTGAGAGGATGGACAAAAAACAGATAGTTCAAAGATAATGAAGTACACTCCGAGAAGCAGACACAGTAGATTAAACAAAATACTCTGATATGTTCCCAAAAATAATCTTCAGGATTTGCTCAGAAGTTCTGAAATGAATCAAAACACACATTCCTAGGGTACACTTTGTCCAGAAAGAGAAGACACACAGCTCACAATTGTATTAAAATAATAATAATAATACAGAGAATCAAACACTGGCCTCAGTGTGGTACAGGGGGAATGTGGGAGTACACTGTTTGAAGGTAATGATTAAACAGGTAACTCCAATTAGAGAATTACAATAGGGTAAAAAATCTTTTGCAATGGTATGGAGAAGCAGTGCTCAACCACATCATGACAAGTAAAGAGATGCAGTCTGCAAGAAAATTGTGCTTACAACAGGTAAAGAAGCAGCATTAAGTGAGTCTTGAAGGCTTGTTAGTGCCACTCATGGGAAGCTAATATTATGCACTTTGAAGACTGTGGGGGAGGATCAAAATGTCAGTACTGGAGAATATGTCATTGAGGATCAGATACCTTGCAAGAATAACAGAGAGATGTGAAGATGCAAAGACTTATCCCTTTGTGAAATGGCATGGATAATAATATCTGATTAGAAAGGGGTGTAATTTGAGATGTGTATGTGAATGAAACTCACTAAACTGCGCTGAGAAGATGCAGGTGCTGAGAAAGCCCGAAGTGATAATGCTAAAGAGTAAAATGACCATTAGCTGGATTGAACAGTAACTAAGGAATCACAGACAAGACTTTTAACATAAGGAGTTGGCGTGAAAATAAGTAGAAAAGCAGTATAAAAATTTGTGATAAGAAAAGAGAGCAGAAAAGAGACAAGCAGCCATATCATCTAACAGTGCCAGAAATGAAGTCTCTAGCATTGCACTCTATGCCATGACGAAGTGGCCTCCCCCACCAATGCCATAAGCAGCCCGTCCTGAAGCTTGGGGGCTGCCAGATGGGATGTGACATGTAGAACCAGCCCAGGTGTTTCTCCCACCAGGTTGGGCAGGCACAGATTATAGAGAGCAGCTTGAATGCACATGAAGTTGAAGCATCTACATCTGCTCTCTGTGCAGAGAGGAACGGCTCACTGTAATTGAACATCCGTAGTCTTGGAGAAGGACAGAAATCATGCCACTGTGGTGCCAGGCATGTGCAGCTGCATGTTATAGCACAGTTAGAAGACGAGGAGCTGCTTATCGTGGCAATGCTGCTGGGACAGAGATTTAGTAAAGCACACTCTGCAAGGTAATAGTGAAGGCATCTTTGAATGCATGGCAGAGGACAAGTGTATTTGGAAAAGAGAGTAAAACATTAATGCAGGTCCTGAAATCAAGACATCAATATATGCAGAAGTGTTTTACTTATTTTTTAACACAGGCGTGCCTAGTCAGAGTGGATCTCCATCCTTTCTGTGATTCACAAGTTATCTATCCGGATACACACCTCAGTGCCATTTTCTGCATTTGTTCATACACTTGTAAACGAATTCAGATTCCTGTTGTGCAACAGATAGGCAGGAATAGAAAACAAAATAGTTGGGTGGACACTTCAATTCTAGCTGCTTCAATCCATGGTGTTGCTCCACTGCTCTTGTTCACCTCTATTCAGACATAGACTTCTGCCTTCTCTGAAGAAATTTAAGATTTCCTCATAGGTCCTGCGTGTCTCTAATCCACATACATGCTAGTCTCACTTATCCCAGCGACACCAGGTTCCTGGTGCTGGGTATTCTTACATCTGTGTGCGCCAGTGTCCCTGTGACAGATGTTTGTGAGTGGCTGCAGGAGGTTCTGATGGACCAGAACTGCTAACAAGACACTAGGTTAGAAATGTGAGAATTTGGCACAAGTAGCCCTCAGTGTACAAGAAAGCCCTCCGTGTACTGGGTTTATGTGGCAAGATTTTGTTAGTGCACGGAGCTGAAGGGGTGGCCTTCCATGTGAGAAGAGACATGGGGCTGTTTACAGACTTGGCCAGTTCCACCAAGACCTAAACAGATCTCTCACTGGCTGGAGCTGAGCACCTCAGCAATCCTGATGACACTTCTGTGATAACAAATTTAAGAAAGGGAAAAAAAAAAACAAAAAAAACAAAAAAACCACTGCACAGCAGCTGTGATGCCAGAGAAAGCTGTGAGATAAACAGCCATGAAGAGAAAAAGGAGGGAAGGAGGTGCTCCTCACCAGAGAAGTGCCCCTGTGACCTGTGGAGAAGACCAGCAGGCTGTCCCTGTGCAGCCTGAGGAGGACTGTATTTGAACAGCCTGTGATGGACTCCACTTGCTGCAGATCTGGCCTGAAGGAAGCTGCAGCCCATGGAAAGCCCATGCAGGAGCAGACTCCTGACAGGAACTGTGGCCTGTGGGACACCTACACTGAAGCTGTCTATTCCTGGTAGACTGTACTCTGTGGAGTGGACCAACATTGAAGCAATTCACAAAGCCCTCAAGGAGGGACCACACACCAGAGCAGCACAAAGTGCTATGAACTAACAACAACCTCTATTCTCCACCCCACTGTACTGCTCAGAATTGTGGCAGGATGAGACGGAAGAGTGGGGAGTAGGGAAGAGGATGAGAAAACAGGGGTAAAGAGCTATTTTTTTAGTTTTGTTTTTATTTATCACTATTCCACTCCGTTACTGGTATGCAATAAATCAAAATATTTTTTCCTGAGTTGAGTCTGCTTTGCCTGTGACTGTAATGGACAAACAATCTCCCTGTCCTTATCTCAACCTATGCATTTTCTCTCCCCCTCTTGCTGAGAAGGAGGTACGGTAGTGGCTTGATGGGTGAGCCAAGGGTAACCCACCCATCACACCTGCCTTCCTGAAGGCAGCCACAAGGCTTAGCACAAGGTGCACTGCCATTGCTCCCTGTGAGGCTCAGGCCTGCTAGAGTCTTTAGATTCATTGTCTTCAGCCATAAACACTCAGTGGTATCAACACAAGCTCAGCAGCTAACTATGTGCTTGCTTCCAGACTACTTAGACTGTCCATAAGTCACACCATGAGATGAGCTATCCATACCAACCCCATGCAGAACCTTCCCAAGACCGTCCAAAGGAGTGACAAGATGTGTTTCCAGTGAATCACATACAATCACAGTAGTAAACATCCCTAGAAAAGGAAGACCTTGCCACACAGACACCAGTAATGCATATATCTAAAACTAAATGCAATGTGTTCATAAACAGTTTTATCTAGTTTTATATAGCAGGCAATCACAGTATTACCATTTTGGTAAACTATACAGAAAGTTGTCAAACAAACACAAACAAAAGACTGTAGGCAACACTCAGAGGCATGAAAGTCACTGCTGATCCTCTTAAGTTCATTGTAAAGCAAAACCAGAAAGTTGTGTCAGTAAAAATAGGGGTAACGAATTGCTTCCTATTAGCTCAGCCTCAATTATTTTACCCATCAGAGTTTCACGTTGCTCTTCCTTCAACAATTTATTTAAAGTAAAAACAGGCAGGATTACTGCTTGCTATAAACCACTTAATGATCAAAAACTTCAGAAACTTCCACCCTTTCCTGTGCTGAGCTTAATTCAGGGACTTCTTGACAATTCCACTTTACTCTGTGAGATATTTTCAAGTGTCCCATTTCTCGGTTCTAAGAAGTTCTACCAGTATGGATAATCTGTAAACTGCAAAGTGGAAGGCAAATGAACAGGCCAGATGAAGGGGTGATGAAGGCCAGATGAAGGGCTGATGAAGGGCAGATGAAGGACTTCTGAAAACAATTGTGTGGAAGCCTTCCACATAATCGTTTTCAGAAGTCGTAACTAGAAAACTGTAAAACTTGACTTATTACTTGCCTGCCTAGAAGCAGAATCACTTGCTTTGACAGCCTGTGTTTAGTTTCAGTCACATTTACATACATGCAGCACCAGCTAAACACAAAGTGCAAGAGTCAGGACAGGGGAGGACACTCACTCTGCCTGTGGGCTAATGTACCAGATGGGCAGCTTTGTTTTTTCATAGGACTATTTAAAACCAGGTTTCAGCATGTTGCAGGCTCTTCAGTTATGCAAGAGTGCCACAGTAGGAGCAACCACGCACTCTGGACAAAATTTGTGTGCTATTACAGCAACCCCTCAGGAGGGAAAAAAACACCACGTTTAGGGGTCAGATCCAGAGACAGATGAAGACTAAATCCATTTCCACTGGGTTGCTGAGTATGAAGACACTTTATTGAACCATTACCTAGGAGGAAAAAAAAAAAAAAAAAAAAAAGCAAAAAGAAAGAAAAATAACCTCAGCAAAACCACATATCTGCTCAGTGGCTGAATGGTTCATACCATGTTTCCAGACACCAGCATCTGGAGGGAAGGCACTACTTTGTAATGTGACACACTTAGCAATCTCAGTGCTGCTAATGAAAGTGGAAGAAAATGGATTTTTGCTGTTTTAAGAGACACATCCTCACCATTCATCCAGCAGAGCCTGGAAGCACAACAGGCATTTACTACACTTTGAAAAAAAACATATTTCCTTCCTCACAAATCATAGCTGTCCATTACATTGCTTAATGCAGTGGACAGTGTAAATTTGAAGCAATCCCCTTCCAAGGAGGCTGGGAGATGCCTCCCGATGGTGGCTTGAATCTATGGCTTATTTCAACACTTACTACAGGTATTTTGCCAGAGCAGTAAGTTGGCAAAAGGATATGCTCCCAGCTACACAGCTGAGTGATTTCACTTGCTTTCATCTTGTGCTTCCTCACCTATTCCTTTTCCTCAGTGATTCCATATCTCAGGACAGAAGCAGGGGTTGGTGGCCCTGCATGTGGCACTGGGGTTGGAGCTTCATGATCCTTGAGGTCCCTTCCAACCCTGACCATTCTGTGATTCTGTGAACACACATTCTGGAGTGTGAAATTAAGGGTTGTGCTTGTGCACAAAGACACCAGATTGGTCTCTGAGAGTCCACCTTGGAGGTGTAGGAAACATCTGGTCACACACTCCAGTCTTTGAAGGCTCTCCTTTACCAATCCCAGCAACATAGCAGTGACAGTGTGAAATGTCACCTAAGCCAAGCCAAAAT